TGATGCAAATGATACGGGCTGCCGCAGTCAGCCAAGGGAGGCCGCGACAGCTCTGGGCCATACTGGTCGTCAAGGGCTTTCGCCGACAAAGCCATGACCCATCCAAGAACACAGGCGATACCTTGATCCGAGATGGCTACGGATGTGACAATGATCAGTGATTTTGTTCGATGACGTGGTGACGCACGGACTTGTTGTGGTAACATGCCGACGACGACGACGACGACGACGACGCGACGACGCGCGCATGTGTCCCGCATGGTATTTTTTGCAAGGGATTGTGGCCCCTGGCAGGCGCGCGAACGCCGTTGAAAGAGCGTGCGAAAGTAGCTCGCGCGAGCTCATGTAACATAAATGTTGAAAAACCATTTGTTTTTAAGGATTCGGACAGCGCGCGCGGGTAGAAATTTGGAAAATCCGTGCACGTGTTTTTCGAGGACCTACGGTGCGATTCGTGCGATTTGTATGATACGCGGTGCTGAAATTCTTAAGAAACCCAATGGTGTTTGAAGATTTCGGCGTGCGCGCGCGAAGAAAAAACGAATGTGTCCCATATGGTATTATTTGACAGGGATGATGGCCCTGGCATGCGCGCAACCGTTGTTGCAGAAGTTCGAAGCACGTGAAAAGTTGCTCGCAAGAGCCCGTTTGACAGAAATGTTGAAAAAGTATTGGGTTTCCTAAGAAATCCGCAAGAGCGCGCGGGATGAATTTTTGAAACTGTTTTTTGAAAAAAAAACCATTGGGTTTTTCATGTTTTTATGTTAAAATCGCTACGAAAACTAAGGTTTTGGAAGGATTTCATTTTGCGCGCGCGAGTGTGCACTTCGTGTCATTTTTTGCAAAAGATTCTTGAAGCTTGGTTATGTTAGAACAAGACATGTCATTTTATATTGCTTTTTGACAGGGAAAGCGGGCGTCAACAAAACAACCGGATCCGGACCCCCCCGTTTTGCCTGAGACTTCCTCACGAAAATGATGAAAATGTGGCTGCGGCCTAGGCGCGGCGAGGGGGGCGTGCACCAGGGGGCCCAACAATAATTATTCTTTAGAAGTAATAATATTCAACAACAACAACAACAACAACAACAACAACAACAACAGCAGCAGCAGCAGCAACAACAACAGCAGCAACGATACATCGGATTTCTGGGGAACATCCGCCGCCCGTCCCTCGCTTTCGCTTGTTTGGCGCCTTCCGACGGGGGGTCGTCGCCACATCTGGCCCCCGAGTGTGTGGGTGTTCAGATCGGCTCTCCCCATTTGAGACCACCCTGGTTTATCCTTTCGGGGGGGATAGTATCACTCGGGTGAGGCAGCCCCAGGTAGGGTTTATTCTTGATGCTTCGCGTGTGTCCCCCAGCCCATCCAGAAACGATGCTGATGAGAGTTGACCGGGGGAGGGGGAAGAGACACGCGTAGTCAAACAGGGAGGGAGGTTTGGAAGGTCCCGTGGCCATCTCGAGCCGTCTTGGAGCTTTCTTGGGGCCGCTTGGAGCATCTTGGGGGCCATTTTGAGCCAGCTTGGGCTATCTGAGCCATCTTCGAGGTCATCTTGGTCTCTCTGAGGCCGCTCGGGGGCCTCTTGGGTGCCTCTTGGGTGCCTCTTGGAGCCCTCTTGGGGCTTCTCGGGGCGCTCTTTGAGCCCTCTTGGGGCATCTTGGGAGCCCAGGAGCGCCTCTTGGGGCCATCTTGGAGGCGGTCGGTCAAAAGAGGGGGGGACCTCGATTGCCCTCCCCCCCCTCGGGGGGCACGATCCTCGTGAGGGGAGTCTAACATTGGCCCTCACAGGGGCCGAAAATGGAGCCTCCGACACCTCGCGACCCCTCCCAAAAAACCTCCGGGAGGGGAGGGGGAGGGTTCCCCTCCCCGAAGGGAAAAGAGGTGGTGGAAGAGTGAAGAGACCCTCTTTAGACCACCTGTCGCCCAAAGGGCTGGTGTGTCTTCTTGACTATTGAGCAGGTGGCCCACTAAGACCCCGCTGCGTTCGAGTATCGCGCGAAGTGGAGCCCATTCCGAAGCCATGCGCTGGTCATCCCCCTCCCCCCAGTCCTAGAAACTGCAGTAGCGCAGGGAGAGTAGCGAGCGCGCCGTGTAGAGCTCGAAGTGGTACCCTTCAGCGCTGGCCTCGAGGATACGGCGGGACCTGACCCGGAACCCGTGGGACCCTCCCTTGACCTCTCGTCCTCGGCCGCTCGATCGTGCAGGATCCGCCTTCACCTCTGGCACGTGTGGGCGCGGGCACGCGGGATGCGCGCGCGCGGCTGCAGCGCGCTCGCAGATTGTGGCCTACTGTTTGTCGGTGGTTGTCGTTGTTTCCTCTCGTTCTCGCGGGGAAAAGCACAAGCACGTGCACATACAGAGCGTGAGCGCTCTCGTGGATGGACAAGACAACGCGCCACGTATTCGAGTACTTCAGTACGGCCTCTGCCTGTAATGATGTGACAAGACGCCGCCCGGCCGCAACCGCGGGGCTCAAGCTTTCACCCTCTCGTTCTGCCTTATGTAAAGCAGGCCGAGGCACACGGCAGTGCAGGAATTCTTCTAGCAGCTGCTATCGGTGGCAGTGTTTTTTATTCGTGTTTTCTCTGGATAAAAACATAAACAGACAGAACGTGAACGCTTTGGTTGATTTAAAATATATTGCGCCATGCATCCTCCTCCTTTTTCTCCTCGTTTTCCGAGGGCCGTCAAGCGACGCGGGCCCCTCCTCCTGCTCCTTCTCCTCCTCCTCGTCCTCCTCCTCAACCTCCTCTTCCTCCTCCTCCTCCTCCTTCTCCTCCTCTTCCTCCTCCTCAACTCCTTTTCCTTGTGCATAATTGTCCTCTGTCGCATCCCGAGGCCAGTTTTTAGAGCGGTCCGGGCGTTTCGCTTGACACCTCCTCACCGCTGGCGACCCTGAAGCATAAACATTGACACCATTTTCACAGATGAAGGGAGGGTGGTTTTCAAACTGTGGCTCTCGCTAAACGCCGCACACGTTCGTTCTCATAAGATAAAACATTTCACGGATTGAGGGTGGTTCCTTTTCAAAATGCGGATCTTGCCACAGCACCGCGCATAATCTTTTCAAACAAATGCAAGAGCTTCACGGATTGAAGCGGCTTTTTTTCAAACAGTGGTTCTCGCCTTAGCGCCGCGCACATTCGTTTTGGAAATTTGCAACCATGGTCAGCGTACCAGAAGTTGTATTTTGGAAGGGCTCAGGATTATGAGGATGCAACAGTTACGTTGATTCGCAGTGTTGAAGTCCCAGGAATGGCCCTCTGGCACGACTCATGATCGTCAAGACGCAGCAGTCAGGTTGATCCGTGGCGTTGGAATCCCGAGAATGATGTTTTGGCATGCATCAGGGTCTTCAAACGGTTGTCTTCCAACGAGGCAGTTCCATCAGTGGAAATGAACATTTGTATGGGGCATGTAACGAGAGAGCTTGGAGGAAGGGATTCTTCCAACATCGTTGATGACGCTTGGGTTTACACTGGTCCTCCTCCTCCCCCTCCTCCTCCTGCTCCTCCTCCTCCTCTCCTTTTCCTCCTCCTCCTCCTCCTCCTCCTCCTCCTCCTAGTGGGCCGAGAGTCCAGCCAGATGGGCGCCCTGCATCCTCGCATCCCACTCCTTCCTATGCTGGCCTTTATTCCCGAGGAGGGGTGAGGAGGGGAGGCAGGGAACGGCAGGAGGAGAGGGAAGAATAGGAGGAGGAGGAGGAGAAGGAGGAGGAGGAGGAGGAAGAGGAGGAGCAGGAAGAGGAGGAGGAGGGGGAGGAGGAAGAGGAGGAGCAGGAAGAGGAGGAGGAGGAGGAGGGCCCCCCCACCAGCCGGCCGCCGAAAAGGGCTCATGTTCGTAATGGTCCCCGCTTGCGATGCCAAACGGCATCGGCAAGCGGGGACCACTGGCAACATCTTCATCCGACGGAACCTTTTGCCTTCAGTTTCGTAGTCACGTAGGAGGGGATGATGATGATGATGATGATGATGATGATGATGATGATGATGATGATGAGGAGGAGGAGGAGGAGGAGGAGGAGGAGGAGGAGGAGGAGGAGGGAGGCGTGATGATGATGATGATGATGATGATGATGATGATGATGATGATGATGATGAGGAGGAGGAGGAGGAGGAGGAGGAGGAGGAGGAGGAGGCGGAGGAGGAGGAAGAGGAGGAGGAGGAGGAGGAGGAATCCTGCCCCACCCTTTGAGGGGGCGGCGAACGAGAGGAGGAGGTGCAGGGGGAAGAGGAGGGGGAGGGGAGGAGGAGGAGGAGGAGGAGGAGGAGGAGGAGGAGGACGAGGAGGAGGACGAGGAGGAGGAGGAGGAAATTAGAAGGAGGAGGAGGAGGACAAGGAGGAGGAGGAGGAGGAGGAGGAGGAGGAGAACGAGGAGGAGGAGGCGGAGGAGGCGGAGGAGGAGGAAGGGGGGAAGACGAACAGTAGGAGGAGGACGAGGGGGTGGAGGATGAGGAGGAGGAGGAGGAGGAGGAGGAGGAGGAGGAGGGGAGGAGGAGGAAGGAGGAGGAGGAAGACAAGGAGGAGGAGGAGGAGGAGGAGGAGAGGGGGGAGGAGGGGGGGAAGATGAACAGGAGGAGGAGAAGGGGGTGGAAGGAGGAAGGAGGAGGAGGAGGAGGAGGAGGAGGACGAGGAGACGAGGAGGAGCAGGAGGAGGAGGAGGAGGATTAGGAGGAGAAATAGGAGGAGGAAGAGGATGATGAGGAGGAGGAGGAGAATGAGGAAAAGAAGGAGGAGGAGCAGCAGAAGGAGGTGGAAGATGAAGAGTTGGAGGAGGAGGAGGAGGAGGAGGAGGAGGAGGAGGAGGGGGGGAGGAGGAGGAGGAGGCGGAGGGAGAGGAGTCCTCCTCCCTTCTCTCCTCCCCTCCTTCCCCTCCTCCTCGCTCCCCCCTTTCCCTAAAGAGGGGGGGGGGAGGCGGCGCGCGAACCCCACCGCTGCACGCGCCCCCCGCCCCGGCTCCCCCCGCCCCGCCGCACGCGCACCCCTTCCGAAGCCAGGAGCAGGAGCAGCGCCGGCGCAAAGAGGAGGAGAACAGGAGGGCGCAGGAGCGGGCCGAGGACCCGGGCGCCCCCTGCGGCTCGCCACTCCTTCTCCTCCTTCCCTCCTTCTCCTCCTTGCTCTCATCCTCCTCCTCCTCCTCCTCCCTTCCTTCCTTCCTTCCTTCCTTCTTTCCTTCCTTCCTTCCTTCCCTTTATAAAACTTGTTCCTTCCTTCTTCATCCTTACTCCCTCCGGTGTCCTTCTTTTCTCCTTCCTCCTCCCTGTTTCCTCCTTCCGCCTCCTCCCATTTGTCCTCCTCCTCCTCCTTCTCCTCGTCCTCCTCCTCCTTCCTTCCTTTGTCTCTCCCTCCCTCCCTCCCTCCCTCCCTCTCTTTCCTCCTTCTCATCCTCCTCCTCCTCCTGCTCCTCCTCCTCCTGCAACTCCTCGTCCTCTTCCTCCTCCTCTTCCTCCTCCTCCTCCTCCTCCTCCTCCTCCTCCTCCTCCTCTGTCACCTCATCCTCCTCCTCCGCCTCCTCATCATCATTATCCTCCTCCTCCTCCTGCTCCTCCTCCTGCCGTGTCTCCTCCCTCTGGCTGCTCCTTCTCCTCCTTCTCCTCATCCTCCTCGTCTCCGCGAACTCACGTAACTGTTGCGCCCTGAGACTTCTGAGTTCTTCCTTGGCATTAGTTTAACGAATGTGCGCTGCTCTCAGGCGAGAGCCGCATCTTGAAAAGAAGCCCGCCCTCAATCTCCCAAATTCTTGCAATTCATTAATACGCATGCGCGTGGCGCTAAGGCGAGAACCACATTTTGAAAACGGCCCTCCCTCAATCCGCGAAACTCTTGCACCTTCTTGAACGAACGTGCGCGGCGCTAAGGCGAGAAGCACATGTTGAAAGCCACCCGCCCTCATTCCGTGAAACTCTTGCAATGTCTTACAATGAATGTGCGCGGCATTAAAGCGAGAGACGCATTTTGAAAACCACTCGCCCTCCATCTGTGGAATTGTTGCTAAATTCTCGGCTTCAGGATCGCAAATGGTAAGGAAGTCTCAGGCGAAACGCCTGGCCCGCTCGCCCGACTGACCTCGGGGTGCGACAGGGAGGAATTATTGTCAGAGTGAGGGGGCCGAACGGTCATTCATTGTCCCTGGGCGCGTGGCTGAAGTGAGGTTCTGCGGTGCGGATTGCTGATGTTGCTGATGTTGATGGTGTTGTTGTTGTTGATGTTATTGTTGTTGCTGCTGTTGTTGTTGTAGTTGTTGTTGTTGTTGGCGGTGGTGCGTGTTTTGCTGTCGGTATTGTTGTTGTAAGTGTTGCTGTTGTTGGTGGTGGTGTTGTTAGTGCTGTGGTGTTGTTGTTGCTGTTGTTCTTGTTGTTGAATTCTCACTTCTACAGAACACTTGTTGTTGACCCCCCCCTCTGGTAACCATTGTATGTTTCAATTGAAGTGCCCTTCCCGGGGCTCGCACTCTGTTCTTCACAAGGAACGCGAGGGGTCACCAAATTGGGCCCCCCCTGCCCTCGAGCTACAACAACAATCATTTGAAGACTGTTTGCTCCCATTTGCTCACGTGCCAATCAATACGTATATCCCGAACCCTCGGTGCCCGCCCACGTCGTCTTGAATCGTACCCCCTTCCGGGTATATCTTCCTTACCTGCCACGTGCATTTCGCGCAGCCCTTAAAATAAGGGAGCAGAGGACGGGCGGAAGGGGGGGGGGGAGAAGAGTGGAGCACGAGAGAAATTAGCAGGAAGGGGGCAAGGAGCAGAAAGCAAGTGGTAGAACCAGAACCAGACGGGCAGATCAGGTGGGCAGACCCGCAGCGGGCAGGTCGGGAAGGCGGGCCCAGGTGACGAGGTCAGGCAGGCGGGTTGTTGAAGCGTGGGTCCTGCACATGAACCGCGAGGAAGTCTCGCGCAATAGCGCGATTCCCAAGTAAATCGTAAGAAAAGTCAGAGCGAGAGCGTGATTCCTGACCGCCGAGGGCGCATCGTCTGAATGAATTGCGAGGAAGTCCCACGCGAGAGCGCGATGCGAACATGAATTGTGAGGAAGTCCCGCGCGAGAGCGCGATTTGGGAATACATCGCGAGGAAGTATCAGGCGGGCGCCGTTGTTGAACATTATTAATTCTAAAGAATAATTATTGTTGGGGCCCCTGGTGCACGGCCCCCCTGCGCCGCCTAGGCCGCAGCTACATTTTCATCATTTTCGTGAGGAAGCCTCAGGTAATACGATGTCATCAAGATCCGGTTGTTTTGTTGTAATCCGTTTTCCCTTGCAAAAAACACTATAAAATGACATTTCTTGTTCTAATATAATCAAATTTCAAGAATCCCTTGCAAAAAATAAGGTAAAGTGGACATTCGCGCGCGCAAGACGAAATCCTTCCAAAAGCTTAGTGTTCGCAGCGATTTTAACATAAAAACATCAAAAAACCAATGGTTTTTCAACAAAAAATTGTCAAAATCTCATCCCGCGCGCTCTTGCGGATTCGTAGGAAACCCAACACTTTTTAAACATTTCTGTCAAACGGGCTTTTGCGAGCAACTTTTTCGAACTTCTGCGACAACGGTTGCGCACCTGCCAGGGCCATCATCCCTGTCAAATAATACCATGCGGGACACATTCGTTTTTTCTTCGCGCGCGCACGCCGAAATCTCCAAAAACCATTGGGCTTCTTAAGAATTTTAGCACCGCGCATCATAAAATCACACGAATCGCACCGTAGGTCCTCGAAAAACACCTGCACGACTTTTCAAAATTTCTACCCGCGCGCGCTGTCCTAACAACTTCTGTGGGTGTGTACTCCACGCCAGTGTAGTAGCCACGGTCGTCCGCAGGCCACGAAGTGAAGTGTCCGAACGTCATAGGGCGGGAAGCTGGGTGTGGGTGGTGGCGAAGAGTCGTGTGGATATTTGGTAGAGCTTGCACTGCCCCCCCACAAAGTGGGGGTATTGGCTGGCGTCGCATGAAAACCCTGGCACTGGTGAGAACACTGAGCGTTCGGGTAAAGTGATTGTTGTTGTTGTATTTGTTGTTGTTGTTGTTGTTGTTGTTGTAAACCGGGGGCCAGGGGCACAGTTTGAGCCCCGTGGCTTCTTTTTTTGTTATACAAAAACACAACAAAAAAATTATCCTGGCGAAGGGCCCAACCATACGCAATTCCGAATGCCGCCGTTGTAAGTATCGTCGTTGGTGGAACACCCGATGGGGCCACGAAGCGTGTGAGAGGTGCGCCAAATGGAGGTGGAACTGCATGCGGACCCTGCCACTGGGGCCTTCGGTGGAGCACCCTGTGGGGCCGCGAAACGTGTGAGGGGTGCGCCGAAATGGAGGTGGAACTGCATGCGGACCCTGCCATTGGCGCCCTCGGTGGAGCTCCCTATGGGGCCGCGAAACGTGTGAGGGGTGCGCCGAAATGGAGGTGGAACTGCATGCGGACCCTGCCACTTGGGCCTTAGGCGGAGCTCTCTATGGGGCCACGAAACGTGTGAGGGGTGTGCCGAAATGGAGGTGGAACTGCATGCGGACCGTGCCACTTGGGCCTTAGGCGGGGCTCCCTATGACGCCACGAAACGTGTGAGGGGTGCGCCGAAATGGAAGTGGAACTGCATGCGGACCCTGCCACTTAGGCCTTAGGCGGAGCTCCCTATGGGGCCACGAAACGTGTGAGGGGTGCGCCGAAATGGAGGTGGAACCGCATGCGGACCCTGACACTTGGGCCTTCGGTGGAGCTCCCTATGGGGCCACGAAACGTGTGAGGGGTGCGCCGAAATGGAGGTGGAACTGCATGCGGACCCTGAACTATGGGGCCTTCGGTGGAGCTCCCTGCCATGGGGCCCGAAACGTGTGAGGGGTGCGCCGAAATGGAGGTGGAACCGCATGCGGACCCTGACACTTGGGCCTTCGGTGGAGCTCCCTATGGGGCCACGAAACGTGTGAGGGGTGCGCCGAAATGGAGGTGGAACCGCATGCGGACCCTGACACTTGGGCCTTCGGTGGAGCTCCCTATGGGGCCACGAAACGTGTGAGGGGTGCGCCGAAATGGAGGTGGAACCGCATGCGGACCCTGACACTGGGGCCTTCGGTGGAGCTCCCTATGGGGCCACGAAACGTGTGAGGGGTGCGCCGAAATGGAGGTGGAACCGCATGCGGACCCTGACACTTGGGCCTTCGGTGGAGCTCCCTATGGGGCCACGAAACGTGTGAGGGGTGATGGTGATGATGACAGCGATGATGCTGATGATGATGATGATCATGATGATGATGATGATCATGATGATGATGATGATGATGATGATGATGATGATGATGATGATGATGATGATGATGATGATGATGATGATGATGATGAGAGGGAGGAGGGAGGAGGGGGAAGAGGAGGAGAGGAGAGGACGCGGGCACCGTCTCTTCAAAACGAGGACCCAACACCACAGGATGGTTGGGAAAAAACAAAAGGCAAGCCCGGGGGGGAGCATCAATCGAAGAAACACACTGGTCACCGGAGGGGGGGATCAACAATATTTATTCTGCAGTAGTGGGAGTTGAACAACGGCTCCCGCTTGAGATTCCTTCATTATTAACTCACACATCGCGCTCTCGCACGGGATTTCCTCACAATGCATGCAGGAATCGCGCTCTGGCGTTGGACTTCCTAGCTATTTACTCAGACGCCACGCCCTCGCTGTGGATCTTCCTCACGATGTATTTGGGAATCGCGATATCGCTCGAGACTTCTTCGCGGTTCATGCAGGACGCACGCCTCAGCAACCCGCCTGCTCGAACCGCCCGTAAGGGTCTATCCGCCCGATCTGCCCGTCTGGTTCTGCCACGTGTTCTCTGCTCCTAGACCCCCTCCTGCTACTATTTCGTGTTCTATCCTCCTCCTTCCCCCGTGCCCCTTCCCTCCATCCGTCATCTTTTCTTCTGCATCAGGGGCTACACGAAATACACGTTGCAGGTAAGAAAGATAGATACCCCTAAGGCGGCACGATCGAAGACGAAGAGGGCGGGTATCCAGGGTTCGGGATATACGTGTTGAGTGGCGCGCGAACAGATCAGAGCGAGCAG